ATTCACCCAAAGCCCATTGTTCTGTTATTTGCTTCACTGTTTGCTGTATTGACTATAAAATAAACTCCTGGGACTGAAGCTGGGTTCGACTCCTCAGAGTGCCTTTCCTGGCCCCACTTCTCTGTAAGAGTTGTGGCATTGGTTATTGTCTCCGCCGCCCCAACAACCGTCGCCACTGCGACACACTGTAAACTTTCACTTAAAGCCCCCAAAAAACTTTTTCATTAAAAAAATTAATTATAAATTTATGTTCTTGGGTACAACATGTATAAAGATGAAACTTGTGATAAAACTTAAACAGAGGTGGGATGGAGCTTTTAGGAGCAAAGTTTTCATATGCTGTTGAAGTTAAAGGGATATCAATTCTAACTAGATTGTTATAAATTTAGAAAGTTAAATACAATTCCCATGGTAACCACAAAGAAAATAACTTTAAAAATATACATAAAAAGGAAGGAGAAATTAATTAAAAGAGTTCACTACAAAAAAATTAATGAAACACAAAAGAAGGCAGTAATGAAGGTAATGAGGAACAATACTATAAAACACTCAAAAAACATATAGCAAAATGGAAGAAATTAGTATTCTTAAGTAATTACATTAAATATAAATGGATTGAATTCTCCAATCAAAAGGCAACGATTAGTGGAATTAATTTTTTAAATGATCCACTATTTCCTGTCTACAAGGGACTCACTTTGATCTAAAAATATAAAGAAGTTGAATGCAAAAGGATGGAAAGAGGTATTCTATGCAAATAGTAACCAATAGACAGCTGAGGTAGTTATATTAATATCAGAAAAAATATACTTTAAGTCAAAAATTGTTATAAGAAATAAATAAGAACATTATATATTGATAAAAGGGTCTATTCATCAAGAAGATATAATAGTTATAATAATACACACCCATTTACAAATACAATGCAATCCCGATCCAAATACCAACAACATTCTTTAAAGAGATGGAAAAACTAATCATTAACTTATATATAAAAGGGAAGAGGCCCCAGATAAGTAAAGCACTATTCAAGAAGAAGAAGAAAGTAGGAGGACTCACACTACCTGACCTCAGAACCTAATATACAGCTATGGTAGTTAAAACAGCCTGGTACTGGTACAAAAATAGATACATTGATCAATGGAACAGAATTGAGAACTCAGAGGTAAATCCATCCACCTACGGTCACCTGATCTTTGACAAGGGCCCAAAGTCCATCAAATGGGGAAAAGACAGCCTTTTTAACAAATGGTGCTGGCAAAACTGGATGTCTGTTTGTAAAAAAATGAAACTGGATCCATACCTCACATCATACACAAAAACTAATTCAAAATGGATCAAAAAGCTAATTATAAAACCAAAATGTATAAATATCATAGAAGAAAAATAGGATCAATGCTAGAGGCCCTAATACACAGCATTAACAGGATACAAACCATAACTAACAACACACAAACTCCAGAAGATAAGATAGATAACTGGGATCTTCTAAAAATTCAACACTTAAATGCTTATCAAAAGTCTTCACCAAAAGAGTAAAACGATAATCTACAGACTGGGAAAAAGTTTTTGTCTATTACAAATCCAGCAAAGGTCTAATCTCTAAAACCTACAGGAAAATTCAACACCTCTCCAATAGAAAGACAAATAATCCAATTAAAAAATGGGCAAAGGAAATGAACAGACACTTCACCAAAGAAGACATTCAAGCAGCTAACAGATACTTGAGGAAATGCTCAAGATCACTAGCCATTAGAGAAATGCAAATCAAAACCACATGAGATACCATCTCACACCGGCATTACTGAAAATAACAAATGTTGGAGAGGCTGTGGGAAGTTTGGAACTCTTATGCACTGCTGGTGGGAATGCAAAATGATACAACCATTTTGGAAAATGATATAGTGCTTCCTTAGAAAGCTAGAAATAGAAACACCATATGATCCAGCAATCCCACTCCTAGGAATATACCCTAGAGAAATAAAAGCAGTCACCTGAATAGACATATGCACACCCGTGTTCATTGCAGCATTGTTCACAATAGCAAAAAGATGGAAACAACTTAGCTGCCCATCAACAGATGAATGGATAAACAAACTGTGGTACCTACACGCAATGGAATACTATGCAATGATAAAGAACAATGATGAATCTGCAAAACATCTCACAACATGGATAAATCTGGAGGGCATCATGTGAGTGAAATAAGTCAGTCAGAAAAGGACAAATATTGTATGAGACATCTACTATACAAACTCATGAAAAAGTTTACATACAAAAAGAAACAATCTTTGATGGTTACGAGGGAGAGGAGGGTTGGGGATGGGAAAACACTAAATAGACAATAGGTAAGTGCTAACTTTGGGGAAGGGTAAGACAGTACACAATACTGGGGAAGCCAATGAAGAAAAAGAAAGAAAAAATGAAAGAATAATATGCATACCAAATAACAGAGCCTTAAAACACATAAAGCAAAGATTCACAGAATTGAAGTGAGAAATAGTTCTATAGTATTAGGTGAAGACTTCAATACACCACTTTGAACAACAGATAGAACATCTAGACAGAAGATAAATAAGGAAATAGAGGACTGAACAACACTATAACACAACTAGATCAAACGGACTTGTATAGAACATTCCATCCAACAACAGCAGAGTACATGTTCTTCTCAAGCGTGCATGGATCAGGATAGACCACAAAT